CTCTCTAAGCGAGATCCCAATTTCGTCGGTCATCCGACGTGACGTCTCCGTTCCCTCCTTCAGACGATCTTCTTGGTCAAGAGTACCGATCGGCAATGTGTCGTGCCATGAAGGATATTAGTGATCCCTGACCAGTTAATGATGCTAAAAGTTAGTGTTAAATACAATACTTTTACTATTTCTTGACAACAAAATTTATTTGAATTTATTTTGGTTTAAAAAAAAAAATTTGTATGTATTTTTGAATAAATCAATAAACCAGACAAAAAAAATTTATGTAATGCCATCGACCCATATGTTGCTTAAATATGTAGCTTCAACTGCTTCCTCTGAATATTATATTTTTATAACATCCCCCCCACCAACTTTACTAAGATCAAATCTACTCCTAGTATGAGCTAATGATTAGCATGAAGCTTGCAGCAGTGGAAAACAAGATATACAAATCTATTCATCTTTTTTTCTTCCTCTGTTTCTCTCGCTTTTTATACCTTTCTGCTCTCATCTCATCTCCCCCTCATGTCTCAAAACCGTGGAAAACAGACAAACAGGTAGCAGCGCATAATTGTTGCACCCACACCCATATTGGTTTGGCCCTTACCCACGCACACACATACATTTCTGCACATAAACAAGCAGAACCTACATGCACAAACAGCCTCAAGAGCGCTTTCTGTCAAACCGACTTGAGTGGAGAGCATATATACAAAAATATGCATGCATTACACGTGTATGCTGAAAGACAGGTAGGGGAGGCAGGAAAAGCAAAGCCTAAACACACCTTAGGCTACTGTAAACAAAATACCTGTCCGTTGGTTCAAAGGATTCTAGCCTTTTGTACTCATTCACCCCTCAATGACACACACACGCACGCACATGCTGGAATTTGGCAGCTTTATGGAACATGCAACAGGCAAAGGAAGGCAGTTCCAAACATTTGTGGTGAGGAGGCACACACCCCAGGGGTGAGCGAGAGATTAACTCACCCTACAGCACCCAAATCATCTGCAAAACTATGTTGAGCGACACACAACAAGTATGCATGTGTTAGTATTAGTGCATGAAGTGATTTGCATGTTGATGTATGAACCGAACAAATGCCTTTGAACATGCAAAACCTCTCTAAACACATATGCACAAACATGCAAGTCACAATAGAGCCGGTCTGTAAAAAACTGAAAAATACTGATACTTGCCCACACTGAAACACATTAAACATTAAATTTTGGTGAATGTACACAAGCAAAAAGGTCTAGTGATGCATGAAGTACAGCTCAAACAGAATTCACTTTCAAACCAAACAGCTTTGCCTTAGTTAATGCAATGACTTTGCATGACCAAACTGAACATGAGCAAAATCTGCGCTGGGATCTTTTTCACCCTCACGCAAAACTCCAGATCGCATGGATTTGTGTTACAACTTCATTTTGTTTGCAAAATTTCAACAAGCAATGGTAAATCTGACCGTACATAGACCTGCACATATTAATTAATAGCCTGACAGTGGTTATTTTATATAATTGTAATAACCACAATCATTTTGCAGTTTTTTTTTTCAGTCACATTTTGCCATTCAAATGAAGGAATTTAAGTGTGTAGCAAATGTGCATTGTAGTGTCCCATTTTGTGTTTGAAGATAATGTCTTCAAGTATTTTTCAGAACAACATATTAGTCTGGTTATAATGACGCAAAACAAAGATTGCACAAAACTATATTGCTTACATTATAAGCAACAAAGCCGTCTACACTAAAACGGCCAATGTAGTTATGCATCATACTGTACATCCACACAGACAACATATTTTCATGTGACACATCAAAGTGGCTGTGTACCTCAACACCCCAAAACTGCAGAGTCCGCTTAGAATGGTGAAAGGTTTAAAATAATAATAATTATAAATAATAATAATAATAATAATAATACAAAACTACATGTAATGCAATACTACATTTTTAACTTAAAACTTCCATCTGTGTAAGAGTGCTTGAAACTGCTCTGGTTACATTATTGACATCTTACATTATGCTCAAAACTGAGCGCTGACTTCAGTGTAAAAACAAGCCATTTTGAAATATTTCATAAAAATGTACAGAATTATACTTTTTATTGTCAATATGGCTTTTTTATTCCTTATTCCTTGATTGCTGGCTGCACCAGCTCACAGTCTGGGAGAGAAAAAAAACACTTTTCTTATTTGCATCCCATAATGCAGAAGAATGTTTATTAAACATTAGTATACGATCTTGAATGCTATCTTAAGCTTTGTTGAAATTATATTTAAAGAATAAATAATACAGCATACATTGAACACTAAAAATATCATTTATATTTAATAAAATGTAATTTTTATTTATCATTATTGTAAATTTCCCATCAAATGACACACCACCTGGGGACACTCCGTGTACCACCGCAGTTTGAGAATGACAGAAATCAGAGCCTAACCCTTCTTCTGTCTCTAACATTTAACTTCAAACACACATTTAGTTATTTGTACATGTGAAGAAACTTATTATTAAGTTAACTGAATCAGTTTGAGGGGATGCTTTGACAATGCACACTAGCATTTAAAAGGTTGGGGTAGGCAAGACTTTTTAAAGATTTTGTAATATATATTTTTATAAATAAAAGTATAAAGGTCTTTTTTCCCCTATAAAGGGTTTTAGAATCCTCGTGAATTTAAGAAATTTCACCCCCACGAGACTACCAACACCACACATGACTATGGGGTATATATCAGCCCTGCCATCCACTGACATTTTCCTCTCTTCCAGCACTTATAGTAAATGTCTCACATCCTCTATTATCATTATACTGCAGTTATCTCAACACAGCGGGTAGAGTGTGCCCTACATCTCATAGTCACCGATACGCACCCACAGAGGCCGAGGGAGAATGTGTTCCTATTTTAATTTCAGACCATGACAAGTTATATTATGATTGTCATCCTCAGTGTGTAGGAGTGTGCTCTGTGCACGAGGCTCAGATTTTGCCTGAGCACGTGTGTAATACACATGCACATACACATGTACTATAAGCTGTAATAGATATACAAATCAGATAGGAGCAAAAGAGTTCACAGGACAGAAGCATTGGTTCCCTTTCATGGGAACTTCGAACTGCGTCCTCTAGGGGTCGCTATGGGGAACGCCTCGTCGTGACTCGTATCTGAAGCATACATTGAAAAAACACCAACTCGTTGGCCGGCGACAGCCATGACGTCACTACCGGTGCGACTACAGTATAAATCGGTGCCGGGAGCTACACATCGTTCTCTTCTTCGTCTTCATTGACTGTTCTGTTTGAAGCGTGCATTTTCAAGGAAAAAGTAAGAGCTATCTATTAATATTATGGCGAGCACTAGTAGAGCATTTAGAAGGTGTGTGCATCCGTGTCAGCGCTATTTGACACCAGATGACACACACGATCTATGTGTTGTTTGTTTGGGCGAGGAGCACGCACGCGATGTCCTCGAGGGGGCAATCTGCGTGCATTACGAGTTTTTTCCAATGAAAATACTGCTAGCGTTCCTGCATTGGAACATGCTGTAGGCCGAGCCCCCTTCTCGACTGAGAACTAGGTGTGTTGCCCCCACAGCTAAGTAAACTATTGCTAGCTGTTCCAGTTTGGAACATGCTGCAGGTCGAGCCCCGTCTCGGTTTGAGAGCTGAGTGTGTTGCTCCCTCAGCTGAATAACTGCTAGCTGTTCCACCATGGGAACATGCTGTAGGTTGAGCTCCCTCTCCATTGAGAGCTGGATGTTCTCCCCCAGCTACAGATTTACTGCTAGCCACTCCAGCATTATAGCCGTAGATATAGCGTCTGGGGATACGCTATTTTTATCTATAGGCTGCCTTTTCAGGGTGCCACGAGAACCCCTAGAACGGTATGCAAGTGTAGTGCACGTTATGCTTTGCCCACTTTTCTAAAATCCACATAAGTGGTAAGTGTGCACGTTATGCTTTGCCCACTTTTCTAAAATCCACATAAGTGGTAAGTGTGCACGTTATGCTTTGCCCACTTTTCTAAAATCCACATAAGTGGTAAGTGTGCACGTTATGCTTTGCCCACTTTTCTAAAATCCACATAGCTGGTAAGTGCGCACGTTATGCTTTGCCCACTTTTCTAAAAATCCTGTATGGTAAGAGCTACGCGCAAGACTTCGTGCTCTTTTTGAGTGGTTTAAAACCCCGGTTCTGCCTTGGGCACCACTCCCCCTATGTATCCTCTGGATACCTACTTAGCAGGGTATTGCTACTAAGGATCTGTTGAGACAGTTCCTTCACCACAAGACAAACGTGCGGTAGCCCCTGTGTGACAGACCAAGACTAGTATGATTCTAGGCTCTTGGTCGTATTCCCTTAAAGGAATCTGTTTCTGATTCCAAGCCTTGAGCTCTACCCCGTGCCCAGGAGTCTGGCCCTAACAGGTAAGTATTTTGGGGTATGTAGCCTAGGCCTTTGGCCGTAGGGAATAACGTCACTGACAGCCGTCTAAACGTCCCAGGGGCAACTCCCATAGCAATATGGTAGAGTTGGTTCTTAGTGCTCGCCATGGTTCTGGCTTGCACTCCCCTCAGCATGGTGGCGTGGGTATACCGTTCCCCATAGCGACCCCTAGAGGATGCAGTTCGAAGTTCCCATGAAAGGGAACGTCTCGGGTTACTTATGTAACCATGGTTCCCTGAGTAGGGAACGAGACACTGCGTCCTCTAGGTTTCTTGCCATGCTGCGGACGCAAGCTTCAGACGAAGAAGTGAACGATGTGTAGCTCCCGGCACCGATTTATACTGTAGTCGCACCGGTAGTGACGTCATGGCTGTCGCCGGCCAACGAGTTGGTGTTTTTTCAATGTATGCTTCAGATACGAGTCACGACGAGGCGTTCCCCATAGCGACCCCTAGAGGACGCAGTGTCTCGTTCCCTACTCAGGGAACCATGGTTACATAAGTAACCCGAGACGTTTTGTGTGCATATTTGTGTGCGTGTGTGTAATTACCTGCATCAGCACTGATGCAACTCTGCTGTATCAGTACTTTGCTGTTCTCCCAGGTCTCCAGGAAGTGAGTTAACTGGTTCTTAACAGTCGTCATCTCCCCTCGAGACGAATGCAGCAGGGCCAAAGCCTCCTTGAGAAGCCACTGCTGCTGCACAAACCTTGATCTGATGCACACACAGACACAAAATGAATTATTCAAAGATTCTGATTTAGAACTGAAGAATACTACACTGCTTTACTGCAAGGGGACAGTACTTTCTCAAGAAAATGCCAATTATGAGAGAAAAAGAGATGAGACAAGATGAGAAGGAAAGAGAAAAGATCACTACATGAAATGTTTAAGTTGATTTTGAAAAGAGGAGAAGAGACGAGATGAAAAGAAAACAGAAATAAGAAGAGAAGACACTACATCAAACGTTCAAGTTGAAAGATGAGAAAGAAGAGAGACATGAAAGATGAGAGAAGAACAGAGATGAAACATCTGAGCTCTATTTGAACAGAAGAGACTAGATGAGATGTCAAGAATAGAAAAATAGACTACAATAAATGCTTAAGTTGATTTTAAAGAGAAGAGACAAGATGAGAAGAGACATGAAATATTTGAGAAATGTTTGAGTTTATTTTAAATAGAAGTAAGACGAGATGAGACAACAAGAGTAGTTAAGAGATTACGTAACATGTTAGTTCATTTTGATGAGAACAGACTAGATGAGGCTAAAAATAAAGGTGCTTCGCGATGCCATAGAAGAACCTTTTTGTCTAAATGGTTCCATAAAGAACCTTTAACATCTGAAGAACCTTTCTGTTTCACAAAAGGTTCTTTGTGGAACGAAAAATGGTTCTTCTATGGCATCGCTTGAAGAACCTTTATTTTTAAGAGTGTAGACAAAGAGAAAAGATGAGAAAACATTAAATTATTAAGAGACGAGACGAGATGAAGAAAAAAAAAAGAAATGAAATGAAAAAGTTGAGAAGAGAAGTGAAGAGAAAAGAAAAGAAAAGATGAGGTGAGATTTTTGAGTTCACACTGAAATTCATTCAATATTCAAGCTTAATGTTATCCACGAGAAACAAGTAAGTTGTGATTTGTCTTTAATACAGGAATGAATAAGAACAATCAGTACTGATTCAAAAAAAGGTGAAATCACTGTTTAATCAACACTAAATCTTTTTGGATATCTTGGTTTGATCCATTAAAATTGAATGTCAAGTCCCTGAACACAAATCTCTAAATATTCAAGAACACAGACATAAGCCTAGATAAATAAATGTTACACTTTATGTGTGGGTAGGATATTTTTTTTACTCCTGTTCATTTTAAGCTGTGTCTCATTTGTTATGAGTTCACATTGTCATATAATCCTTGAGGAGGTTTAAGATAAACACATTTGGTAAGCAGCTGTTTATACAATATACACTAGTGTTGAGATGGACATGATTAGATGAACATGCTCCTGCTGGACCTTCATTTAGAACTCCATCAATATTCTATGGGACAGTCAGTGTCTCTCGTAGTTTCTGGCTGAGTGTCAGCACTGTCAGTGTTTAGCCGGGTGATTTAATGAGGTTTGTACATTTGAAGTTCTGTGTCAGTTCAGCTGTACTGCTGCCCTACATCACGCCCCTTCCATTCCCACCAGCATTACATCATCATCATGAGACAGAGGCAGATAAGAGCTGCCAGAAGTCTCTATGTGGATAAACAGGACACCAAATCCACACACAAACACACAGGCATGAAATCTTTTCAGCGACCACACACCAACCATATGCATATCCATCCCCCCATCACAGCCTGTCACCACGTAAACAAACATACACAAGCACACACTCATCCACTTGTATAGAAGTCATGGTAACGGGTAAACATGGCAGTGTTAGGGTGAGACAGACAGACAGTAAAAGAGGCAGAGAAAGAGAGAGAGAGAGCGATAGTGGGAGAGAACCATGGGAATTCATTTTTCATAACAAGGGAACAACACTGGGTATGAAAAATGGCAATAGTCAGAAGAGAGGAGACTAAAAAATGAAAAGAGAATTACTGTAAAAAGACTAAATGAGAAAGACAAGACAGGAAGGGATGGAATTAGATGAGATGAGAGACAAATAGGAAACGAAATGAAACAAGAGAAGAGGAGACAAGAGACAAGCTGTCTAGATGAAATAAGAGGAGAAAAGATTAAATGTAAGAAAAACTATTGTATGAGAAAAGAGAAGAAGAAATAAAATGAGAGGAGAAGAAAATGGGAGCAGAGGGAGAAGAGGAGGGGAGATTAGAAAAAAAATGATGAGATGAATTAAGAGGAGAAAAAAGAGATGCAAGGAAAAGAGATGTTAGGAGAAAAGGAAATTAACCAAATGAATAAGAGAAGAAGAGAAGAAATTAGATGAGCCAAGAAAAGAAGGACATAGCAAGAAAGATATGAGACAAGATGAGAAAGGAAAAGAAAATGTGAAACAAGGAGACAAGATGTTTGGAAAAGACTGAGAAGAAGCTGAGAACAGAAGAGATGAGACGAGCTGAGATGAGAAAAGACAATATGAGAAAAGCACAGGAAATGAAAAGACGAGAAGACAACAAGATGAAAATAGAAGAAAAGACATGATGCAAGGAAATTGGAAATGGGAGGTGAAGGCATGAGGTGAGATGAGACTAAACATGGTCACAGAAGAAGAGGAGAAGAAACAAGAAGAAAGGAGACAAGATTATAGGAAAAGACTGAGAAGAGACGAGCTGAGATGACAAAAGACAATATGAGAAAATAACAGGAAATGAAAAGACGAGAAGATAGAAGACTAGAAAAGGAGTTTAAATGAGAGGAAAGGAGAGGAAAAGAGAGGAGAGAAAACTAGGCTAGACACGATGAAATGAGAAGAAAAGACATGATGCGAGGAAATTGGAAATGGGAGGTGAAGACATGAGGTGAAACGAGATGAGTTGAGACTAAACATGGTCACAAAAGAAGAGGAGAAGAAACCAGAGGAAAGGAGACAAGATAATAGGAAAAGACTGAGAAGAAGCTGAGAAGGCAAGAGATGAGACAAGCTGAGATGAGAAGAGATGAAAAGGAAAGGGGATGAAAAGAGAGGAGAGGAAACGAGGCTAGACAACAAGATGAAATAAGAGAAGAAAAGACAAGATGCAATGAAATTGGATGTATATGAAGAGTAGAGGAAATTAAACAAAATGAGATGAAATTAGACTAGAAGACAGAGAGGAGAAGAGAATGGATTAGATGAGGTGAGATGAGGAGATGAGAGGCGAAGACAAGGGGTGAAATGAGATGAGACTAAACATGGTCTCAAAATAAGAGAAGAAACAAGTGGAAAAGAAGACAAATTTATAGCAAAAGAGACGAGACGAGAAACCTCAACAATAAACCGGACAGACCAGTACTACCAACAGCTGTGTGTGTTTTCTGGAAGTGCATCTGGCTGTGTCAGTTAAACTGGACTGCAGTGCAACGACTGACCCCATTCAGACTGACCCCTCATGCTTTTTGTCTTTTTCCCCCACTCCTGTCCTCTTTTTCTTTCTAATTTCGCCCTCAGTGTTTGAAGTGTTTCTGGAGTGTGTCTGGACAGCACATGGTCTGTTTTTGATGTGTGCGTCTGGCCAGCTGCTTTCCCCCGGCTGCTCAGCATTCTTAGCCTGTCCGGTTTCAAATCTATGACTTCATCATAACTGTTATAAATCACCTCCCATATCATCATCATCATAATCATCATTAACATTATCAGCATTCTGGTGCTCTTCGCTTCACCTAGGGGTGTTCATGCATCAAACAGTTTATGCTTCCTGTCTCATTCACTGTCCTTCCCCATCTCTTTCTGTGAACCGCTGGGGCGTAGTCTATAATCAGGCTATAAACCTTTTGACCGAACAGACTGCTAGACCTCACGCTACAGTGAGCTCGCACTACACACGCACATGCCCCATATGTGAAGCACGCACATTTCACTCCAAAATAATAAATATGCACACACACAAGACATGAAAAGGGGACTTTAAAGAGACGCTAACATTATGGCGTGGAGGGGTTAAGGAGGGAAGACATCTAAGAATTTCATTTTTTCTTTGCTCTCATGACTGAGGCAGTTCAAAGATGTAAAATATACTTCATATCTTTGTGAAGTAGAGAATAAAGAGAGCGTACTTCAGCGCTCATTTTACTGACTTTCAGGGAAAGGCTTCTTCACAACTGCATTTTCTATTTTCTGATGAAAATATGAGTAATGATTTTCAATGCAAAATTCGACTCACAGTGCTAGGGTGTACGACTATCAAAATACCAGATTTCAGTACATATTTTCACTATATCTACAGAAAACGTAAAAAAATACTATCAGTCAAATTTACTTTGTTTTCTCTTATTTGCCCAATGAATCACACTCAAAATATGTGTGTAAAGAGAGAGTTCGTAATCATAACTCATAAAAATAACTGTTGATTGGGGTCTAACACCCGTCTTTTTTATGGAACTCACACACTGATGAGCTAACTGAGGATTGAGTGTCTCACTTTTGCCTGTCATCTCCTCTCACATGAGGTTTGCTGCATCCCAATTTGACTACTTACAGTATGCTACGCCCTTAAAGTATATACTCTTTTAATATACTCCCAAAGAACACGTACAAAAAGCGGCTGTCACACAGCATGTGAGTACTAAACCAAGTTCTCATTCACACACAAGTTTACATTAAAAACGAACGAGTTACAAAAACAGTCAGTTATGTCTGTGAAGGTAAACAGCTGGGAAAGAAATCGCTTGAATATATTAGATTGTTATATTGCTTGTTTATCTGTGTGGCAGCAGCAATATACAGTAAATAAATCAATAAATGCACTGCTCTTGTCTGCTCTGAGGCTGGAACTCTAAAGTGCCCTGTGCTCGTCTCTGCAGCCAAAGGCAGAACAGCTAGCATGTTTTGCTCCAACTTTCGCCATGGTATTAGAACTGGTACACTGTTGTCGCTTGCGAAATCAAAATGACGGCGCCATGGGTGGAAACTTACAGATTAAGGGGTGGTAATATTATAATGAGATCCCTTTGCAACGTCACAAGGGGAGCAAAATCAGACGCGCTCATTTTTCAGACGCTTGCAGAAAAAGACTTACCAAAACAAAGTTACTGGGTTAATCTTTTTCACATTTCCTTGGTTGGTAGATGCACCGGGGACCTGATTATAGCAGGTCAATATCACTGTCGGGTGCCTTTTGGTGTCCTGT